ATATATGGTTCTGGGTTTCTTGTAATGATTGTCATGTTAAGCCTGATGAAGGGGACCCTGCGTGGCCCCCGAAACGTTGCATTTTTGATGTGACAATATGCTGGAATAAACGACGCTTTATTTTGGACATCATCCATTGGTGTGCTGGTGACATTTCTGATGTACACTGTGATGCGCGGCGCCATCGGCAGTCACTTCAGCGCCCACCTTTCAGCACAAGGGGCATTCATTTAGGAGTGCGGCAGTTATCTACAGTTCTTTCCGATTGCTAGGGGCACTAGACAAGGGTGTCAACAGATCGGCCCCACAGATTCTCCCTCCCTCACTCACTTCATTTCTTCACGGTCCCGACAGGCGATTAAGGGAACCAACTTCCTCTGCCCCCTTCTTGCCGCCTCCTCCTCCCACGTAGCCCGATCAAAGCTGCGGGGACCCGCCTCCTCCTCACCGTCCCGTCCCCTTCTACTGACGTCCCTTGCTGCGGCTGCCTCCTTCTCACCGTCCACCGCTGCCTCCAACTCACATCCCTTGCTGCCAACTGTTCACCGTCCCCCGCTGCCTCCGTCTCACCATCCGCTCGCTGCATCCTCCTGGCCGACTCCTCCTGGTCTACGATTGCCCTGTTACTTCATGAGGCTGCTGGGCTGCGGCATTTTCGCCGCTCCTCTGGGGAGTGCCGCCCAAGGCAAATGCCTTGTTTGCCTCGCGGCAAATACGCCCCTGCCTAGAGCAACATGCTCCTCTTTGGAACTTTGATAGAGCTTGTTGACTGTTCTCCTATTACACCTCAAGCCTTACCTTGGGTTTCCCCTCACCATATGCCTCCCTATTTGAACCCTTTATTAAAAGATAAATTGAAAATCTGGGATTCCATTAAGTACTCCAGTCAACTTATGTCTCCTCATGCTCCGCTGTTGCCTATCACTTCTCAACTTTCTTTTTTAGTTGGTGATTGCCAAGTGGCTTTCGCTTTGTTTACAATTTTTTGTCTCCTATCACTTTGATTGTCACTTGGTCCTATCTCCGCAAACATAAATGCCCCCCTCCAACATAATTGTTTAATCACTGGATCTCTTCATTAATCACTGGATCTCTTTATTTTTTGCGACATGCTACGCATGTTTTTTTCAGCTGCGATCATACGCGATTGCACGGCCCTACTGGGGTGCCATTAGAAAATCAGCGCGGTTTCATGAACGATTGCCGCGCGGTCACAGATTGCCGAAGTGTGAACCTGGGTATTAGGCCAGTAGTGCATGCACTGTAATCAAAGTGTGGCCTATAGCAGTGGTTCTCCTGTGACCTCAGGACCCACATTTGTCCTTGGTTATTAAGTTGCAACCCAAGTCGCATCACAATAGAACGCACGGCACTGCAGTACTGCTCATTCTGGTGCGGGTGATTGAACTGTAGGCAGGAGGTGCATTTGGAGTGCCAATCAAATGAATGGCAACGCAATGCACCTCCCACATCAGAATCCACAGTAGGTGTGGTACAAGGCATTAATTGCATGGTACTGTGCTATGAACACTACACTAGTGTGTACAGGCCCTCAAAAACACTGGCAGACACAATCTCACAAACTCATAGACATTCTCTCACACATACACACTCCCAAAAAAATGTATTGGTTTTTTTTTTTCTTTTTTAAATCCACCCAGTCTCCCCTGAAAAAGAACCTTGTCCCCTAATGGGGACAAGGGCCTCTTCCCCACAAGCCCCGGGGCGTTGGTTGTGGGGGTGCGGGCAGGGGGACAAGTTTTTGACAAGTCTTTTATATAAAAAACAAAATGGATCCACCGACACAATCCAGTGTCAATCACGACGTCCAGTGTTGTCCACAACGACGAAGACGACTCAACTAAATAAAAAATAAATTAAACATAAAATAATAAAACAAAAATAAATAATCATTTTTTTTAAAACAACGCCTGCCGATCCGTCCGCTCGCGACGAACTCCCGCCACAGAATGGCATTTTGACAGATGCTGGCAAAATATAAACAAACAATTGGGCGGAGCTAGCGGTAACAGCTAGCTCCCCCCTACTGTTTACAGTTGTACAGCATCTTACAGGTGAGCCATGATTGGGCAAAGTCATCATGACTTTGCCCAATCATGGCTCTTACAGAGTACTGTGCCCTGGTTGGGCAAAGTCTTGCATCTGACCTGTGGCCAGGTGCAAGGCTTTAGCCAATCAGAGCTCACAAGCCACTGTGCGGTGCACAGTGCCTTGTGGGGTGCTCGGTGGGCGAACAGCCGAACACACAAACTGCAAATGTTCGAGTCGAATTCATGCTCGACTCGAACATCGAGCCCATCCCTATTCACCAGTGTGCTAAAGTCCGTATTATTTTAGAAAAACTTTTTTTTTAAAGTATCGGAAAATGGTATTGGCGGAAATATTGAGGAGGAGAAGTATTGGTATTCATACTTGGTCAGGAAAAAATGGTGCGTCCCTAGGTTTTAGGAATAAAAACTCCCAAATAGTGGATTTTATCCCCACACCATATAAAAGGGAAGGGGGTACTCCAGCAAGGCTTCATGCAGGTCGTGAGATAGAACGCTCTGGGCTTATCCAGATTGATAGCGTAGCTGGAGACACGACCATAAGTCTCCATCAAAGACAAAATGCTAGGTAAGGCCATCCTCGGGTTTGAAATATAGAGCAACAAGTCATCAGCAAATGCATTAATTTTAACCCATCTAGTTCCTATAGGGATGTCCTGAAATTCAGGCCTAAAAGAGGATCCAGCACCAGATTAAATAAAAAGGGAAAGATGGACATCCCTGACGACTATCACGTTGCATACACAAAGGAATGGAAAGTTGGCCATTATTTAAAAGTTTAGCAGTTTGAGTAAATATACTGCATATATGTAGTGAACGTGGGAACAAATGCTCTGATAGATAAAATATAATACAGCAGTAGCCACTCTATTTTATCAAAAGCCTTTTCCATGTGTAGACTTATAAGCATTGATTTAGGAGCATTAGGTAGCCGCTAAGCAACATTATGTATACAGTTTAAAGTAGAAAGGGGATAGAACCTCTGTCGTATTTTTATTGATTTGTGTGTCCCTGCTAGGTAGATTGACCTATTTGTACTGGTGACCATTGTCACTGGGACAGAAAGTGCTTGAAAATCCCCAAATTTACATTTGTCTTTGGAATTCTTTCAATGGTTACACCTGTTCCAGTGTAAGGCTGGGCACACACCTTACAACTATGTTGTAAGGTACTTAAAAAAACGTACGATCTGCCTATTTGGCATAGGCAGATCGTACTTGCGATGATCGCAAGCCACGCCCCCTGAGGGGCGGGCTTCCGATGACCGCAATGCCGAACGGGCAGTGTGCGTTTGCGCACACCGGCCCGTCCGGCTTTTATCTCACGAACATGCTACACACCCGCCGAACATCGTACGATGCTCGGCGGGTTTTGAAACATGTTCGTAAGTTTAAAGTTGTGCGACCTTACAGTAGTAGAGGTCGCACGGCTTCCACACACCTTACGATAATCGTACGATCACAGGATTTCCCGCGATTATCGTACGATTATCGTAAGGTGTGTGGGGACCTTAACAGTGGAATTCCCCTCACTTTATAGAGGTTTTCCTTCACTTTCTGTTATATCTTTTAAACAGGAAGTGAAGGAAAATCTCACTAATGTGACACAGAAAGCAAAAATTTAATAAACTGATAGGGATTTTACCCATTCCCCACTGTTTTCAAAACTAAAAAAACATTTTTGGGATACATACACTTTAAAGAGAAACTTTACTCTGCTCTCTCCTTTCCCACTGGGTTGTCCCCAAAAAACATACCCACACATCCAGTGAATCCTATGTTGCCTAGTGTAATCTGTTGCTCCTCTGCTGCACACCAAGTCCTGCACCACTATCTTCTCTACTTCCATCATTGGGAGTTGACTGTCCATTCTGGGTTCTTGCAGCTGCCTCCCTGATGACATGTGCAGTATGGTGCATATTGCCTAGAGCATACGCAATGTGGTGGCGATTGCCCCAAAGCCTCCAGTGATGTGTGATGTACTTTTCCAGGAGCTTGTGGGCAGCTGGCTAAAGTCATTCTCATCTAGGCGACTAAGCAGGAAGTGAAAAAAAGGTATGAGACAGAGACCTGCTCCTGAACGCAGACAGTCTCCATCCAAGTGCATGCACCCAGACCTGCACGGATGTGTAGATTCAGGTCGGCGTGTAGCAATTACAAGCTGCCCCTGTCCATATCAAGTGCAGGTGTCTGCACGCTGTACACCCATGTGAATGAGGCCTTAAACGTCATTGGGGGGAGTTTAGCAAAGGGTTTGTGACTGTTTTTTTGCAGTCGCATCTTGTAAAATAATGCTAAAGGAGAGCAAATGATTGTTCCGCATTTGCATCCCTTTTCCACCACCGCTGCGACACTTAAGTATTAGCATCCAGATGGATACAAATAGCGACAAGATGCATAATAAACACATTTACGTCAGATCTGCTACAGTCCTCTGCCTCTGAAATTATACACAGAAAAGTCGTATGTTAAGAAGTCCTCAGGAGGATTTCTTAAAAGTCTTCTCACTCCTCCTTTAACCCCTTCCTGTGGAAAACAGCTCTACATACCCTTCCCCTTTCTGTCTAAACTTTGACTTCCCATGTCAGTGACTGGTATGTGAAAGAGTTATAGAGAGCCGGAGGTTATGCTCTGGTAGTTCGGGGAAGCCAATTACAAATATTATGATATTGGGGAAATCACAAACCGCAGATATTTCTCTAACCTAGACAACTTTTGATATTTTAGCATTCCTTCCTTTATTATAAAACATTGCCCTTTTGTGATCCATGCAAACAGTAGTGCTAGATATTTCCATTTTATAAATGGGCAATAAAGGTGCAATGAATAAGCTATAATGTAATGAGGCTGACAGGGCAGGGCTGATGCAGGGGAGTAGAGAGGTGTGTCTCAGTGTTCAATCCTGCCTTCTCCTTGATAACCCATGAGAGCTGGAAGCACCTGTTCTCTACTGTACTTCACTTCTCCCTCTTTCCCTACCTCCTCTTCAGATAGAAGGGAACAATGCTTAAACCAACCATTTCTTCACCATCCTATGTTCGAATAAACTTTCTCACCTGTGTGCTACTGGCTCTGACCGTCAAGCCTCTTCAGGGGCAGATGCTTCGTGCTTGCAAAGAGGTAAGAATTTCAAAGGCAATACTTAAAAGAATGCAAAAGTGTAAATATTAGATAGAGGCAATTATTATTTTTTTTCCTTATGGATTAAGCAGGCACCATAGAACTATGATCTAAGACAGATGGGAAAGAGTTAACATGCTTTGTTAAACAAGCGTTAGATAAATAAGGGATGCAAGTGGGGTTGAGCAAGCTCATGGATACCTGACAGCTGTTACAGGTCACATTGTCCTGAGTGTCTTGCAGGCTGTTTGTTCTCTGGTGATTAATATGTTCATGAGCCACCCAGGACTGATCAAGTTACAGCTTTTCCATGTAGATCTTTGCAAGCTGAATTTTTAGATTTTAAATTGCATGTTGATGTAAACTTGTAACGAAATGACAATAAATGCTGCTATTCACAAAAAGTGACACAAATATGCCCAGTAAGGCAAAAAGTGTAAAGCAACAGCACTCGCTGATTGCAATCAGCACTCGTCTTGTTCATTTACAA